ACAGAGGGGACTTAAGGCCTTCGACTCCCTGGCGAGGGTAACTTCATCGGTATGGGGACCATCCGTCCGGAAATCGAGGCTACTCTACACAGCGGTTGCACGGCCTATTATGACATACGGCGCCCCTATTTGGGGAGTCTGTCAGCAGGGTGAGCCAATCTCTGAAGGCAAAATGAAAGACCTAGCCAAGGTTCAGAACAAGTGTCTACGAAAGATCCTAGGGGCTTACAAACGGACACCAATCGCCGCGCTTGAGAGAGAGGCGGACGTTCCCCCAATCGAACTCTACGTCCAAGAACGGGCCGCCCAAAGAGCAGCATCGACGAACACCCACAAGATCACTACCCAGATTGAGGGAGCCCTGACGCAAGTCTGGGATGCTGCTTCTGCTCCCCCGAGACGAACTCGAGGCCGACCCCGCCGTATCCGGTCTAAACCTGAACCCGCGATGAGTACGCTTCGGACCCAGTATGACAGACTTCTGTTCCCCCGGCCCGAACCAATTAGAGGATATCAGACACAACAGCGAAAAGGCCCGTACCGGATGATCCAGGACGAGTATCGAGCGAAATGGAGGGAGAGATGGCAAGCCGAAGCGGCCAGACCAGGAAGGAGAGCAAGGACATGGAAGGACCCGTGGGAAACCCAGTGCCTTAACCGGTACGACGGCCTTCAGAAACACGAGGCCTCGGCGCTTATGGCACTACGGACTGAGGTAGTTGGAGTTAAAGGATGGCTCGCAAAAATTGGTGTCCCTGGAATCCACCCAGCGTGTGAGTGCGGTGCCCCCCGACAGTCTCTCTACCATCTCCTTGCATTTTGCCCGCAGCGGACCGACCAGAGGATCGAGCTCCTCCAACGAGCTGGAACAACGGACTTTAAGAGGATATTGCATGACAGGGACAAGGTGCGCCACGCAGCAAGGTGGCTGATCGATGCGGGAGGCCTAGAGCAATACCGGGTGGCCAAGGAAGTTGAGGAGGAGGTAATAGAGGACTGGAAACCGTTCCAGTTCCTCCACGACGTGCCAGAATAAGCTCTCCGCGTAGGCGGAAACACCGACTCTTACGGATAGATGATAAACGTTTAAGATAGTCTACTAAAGGGAGGAGGCGGGATTTTATGTACCCGCAGCCTCAGGGCTACGGGGAAACTTTTGCCCGCGGCAGACCAGATAGAATATCGTGCTCATAGACCCGAAAGGGATCCAGATAGTACGTTAAATTGATTCTTATTATTATAAATAACATATATTAAAAATATTGATGGTATTGAGGTCTACGGAACAAGGAGATCATTTTGGCGTAATTTCGCAGTCCTGTAGGTGTTTGGGGAGGCGTCGAACACGCTGTGGGCGCGCCCGGTGCCCGCCTTCTTCCACCCCCTCCTGTACCGCTTCTTCACTGATTTGGAGTTCTTGGGGCTGTAGATTTTGGTGTAAAGAGGTCTGTATACGAGGTTTCTTGACGGTCGGACGGGTTTTCGACTCCTTCTGTAATTGTTGATCCGCTAATCGTGCCTGACGTAATGCCTCTTTCTTCTTCGCTATATGTGCCTTTTCTTGTTCGCGCAAAGTGCGTGCCTCTAGGCGCTGAATCTTCCTTTCGAGTAGTAATCTTTCTTTCTCCTCTTTTAGCCGCATCCTCTCTAGCTTTTTCTGCTGTTTTTGGACTTGGAGATCGGATTTTTCCTGCTCTTTTTGTATCTGGAGTTCGCGAGCTCGCTGAATCTTCGAGGGACTAAAGAATTGGGCCTTAATACCATCGTTTTCAGCACGAAGGTCATCAAAAACCGGTTTAGCCCGCTTACGTTTCATTTTTTCAGTAACGATAGCCTGCCTTAGGCCCTGATTCTCCGCCCGTAAGAGAACCATATCGGTTGAAAGCTGTGCGACCGCGGTATACAATTTTCGAGTCTCCGCGGTTACCACATCACCAACTGCCTCACGTACGATCTGCTTCACATGCCTCCAATCTGAAGAGGATAAGTGAGAATACCCCGATGAAGAATTAGAGCCCGGCCGATGCGGTTCTTCACTCATCCCTAGCGCCCCGAGAACGATGGACTCATCCAGTGGATTCAGTCCGGTCTTCCGCCAACTACTCAAGATGTTTTCCTCGGTGAAGGCCTTGCCCCAAGCGATCCAAAATAAGCGGAAAAAGTCTCTTTTCGAGATAGAATAGAGCCCTTGGCTTTCGGAGATGTGGCGGTTGAGTTCCTGGCCGTAATATACCGCGAGGGGGCTGAAAAGACTGACATCAAGAGGCTGTAGTCGATGGGTGGTGTGAGGTGGATAACAGCACACTAATATCTTGTTTTTATCGCACCAATCCAGAAATCTCATATTAATGTGGCTTCCATGCCCGTCAATCACCAGGAGCCGATACCGCCGCCGCGCTTTTGCCTTGGTATACCGATCGAACACGTTCGTCAGCCAGTTATACCCTAATTCGTCGTTCGTCCATCCCGTTAGTGATGATGCAAAAAAGGCGGCATGTTTCTGTGCGTCGAAGTCCTGTAACCAAGAGTCCTGGAGATTCCCTGAAACGGCCTGGTAAATCAATCCAGGCGGTAGCCACGATCCATCCGCACAAATAGAGGCAAGTATGGTAATCCACTCGCGATTACCATCGGTCGTAGCTGACAAGCTCTTATTTTGCCTCATAACCTCTTTTGTGACGATGCGTTTCATCTTGGTCATCATCCCGATTAGGAAGCCCTTCTTATCCATATTGTACATATTCTCCGGTACGATCTCATATTCCGCGATTTTTAGGCGTAGTAACTCGTAGAAATCACAATAGTCCTTCGCCTTATCCGCATGAGTCCTGGAGCTTTCGATAATACCAAGATATTTGGCGTCGAGTAAGGTGGAGTGCCGTTCCACGAATCGGCCCACCCAATTTTTGCCCACCTCCTGTTTTGCGATATCCGACGCGAAATTCCATACCATCGCAGAGGTAGGGGGAAACCCATGCCTACATATGTCGTTTATATAGGTAATTAGCCTAGATTCTTGGTGGGCGCTCAGTTTGCCCTGGTGTTGGTAGGCTTCATGCCTGGAGGTAGACTTTCCGATGGCGCCTCGACAAAGTAGAACGATCGACTTGGAACTTCTTTGCAATCGCAGTATAATTAGGCTTTTCTTCCAAGGCTAACGCAGCAAGAGCTGCCTCAATTGGATCCATTTTGGCAAAGTTATTACAATTGTAGTGTTCGAGTGTGCCGATATCAAATCGTGCACGAGGTGGGACCGTGCACGCCGCCGGGAAGACCTCTAGTTATTAATGGTACTGAAACCGCCATCTGTATTTGGTTCAACAAAGAGTACTCCACTACCACCAGGGGCGCCGCCACTACCAAGCCATATAGGATTCCTGATCACATCACCTCCATTATCTTTATCTTTCCGAGCGCCGTCAATAGAGTCTAGTGTATCCGTTTCATGTACTGGAGCCGCGTTCGTTCGTGTCCCGGAGTCCGCCTTAGCAACTGTCGTGGCGTCGCGTATTGCCGGTAGTTCTTGAGTCTTCTTCTTCCTTTCTTCAAGTGTGGATCAGCCATAGCTTCGACGCGCCAAGGCAGAGCAGTGTAAACCAACCGAAATGCATCTCGCGGGTGGGATCGGATCAATGATGTCTTAATGCGCGCTTCGCGAAACAGCACGCGAACGAATCCAATGAGCTACAGTAGAGGTAAGTTAACTAACTTAACTTATAGTTAGTTACGGGACGGTCGAAAGAAGAGAAGGCACAAAGCCAACAGTACCTCACCCTATCGGAAGAGAAAGCCCTCGTAAAGTATCTATTACAAATGTCGAGGAATGGATTTCCTATTCCGGTTAAGTATCTAGGCTCGCTAGCATATATCATTGCGTGTCGGCGCTCCTCTGCCGTTCAACCTTCCGGGACGAACGTATCGATCGACGCTCCTGGCAAGAATTGGCCCCAGGCCTTCAAAAGACGCCATCCCACGGTACAAGTAATGCTTAACGGTTTATGGTTGCCCTTGATTTTGTCGTTCGAATAAGCTAGCATGTGGCAGTCTGCGACCAGTTTCTGTCTAGATCACAATTCGGATAAGGTTTGTCCTCTTTCTGGTAACCGATCAAATAATCTTGAGGACTAAATGGGAGAGCAACAAATAGCTCATCTTACTGGAGCCTTACTCCCCCTTGCTCTTGAAATTCACTGAACCTCACGTCCTATTCAGCCTCTTCGAGCCAACCCGGAGAGATCGCATCGAAAACATTGAAAGAATTCAAGTTAAGACCCGAGTCACCAATGATATCGAACCCACCCGGAAAAGGACCCAGAGAAGGGTCCCACGGAGCCTACTCTGCTTGCGGCTCACCCTCGCTATCGTTCCTGCTAGTACCTGTGGCGAGGAGTGTATCTACAAGCTCCCGAATAAATTTTCCGATGTTGCAAGCAACCGGGCACTCATCCATAACTCCCAGTACTTCGATGGCTTGATTGATATACAGAAGAATTGCCGATTTCGGGCGAGCTATCGCTGGTTCTCGGGAAAACGTAGCTACGAGGATAGACAGACCGAAAGCAATGTATGTCGTATTATTCCACCTGTTACAAGTCAGTCTACTAGTCATACTCAATATGCTAACCCTTTAACGTACCAAGATCGGAAGAAATGATGCGCAGAATACGTCGAATGGATACACTCGATGATCTCGACGGCGGCGTTCTTGCAATTCGCGGAATATGCGGCTACCTTTTTTGCATCTCTTCCGTTCTTATGGCCTTTTTGCTCATGGAGAAAAAAAACGTAAAAGAGAACAATTCTTGTGTGTAAATACCCTGGAGCAACCTGTTAGAAGGTGTATGGGCAAGGAATATTTGGGGGGAGAAGGAGGAAGGTCGTACGCAAATGGAGGACGAGCCTTTGTAGCTCCGGCCAGTAATGATTTCCGAGCAGTAGGCGCGCTTTTGTCGCCCCAGAGAATGGCTTTGGTCGAATGTTCGGAGGAAGTTCTACTAACCAACTATTCAAGCGGCGTTCGTACTCACCGGCTCGTTCGAGTTTCTCTGACAGCGCTGTCTCTTCCCAGTAGATCTTCCTTGAGATCTCCTGCAAGATTCTGGACAGCCCAAGCATTACTGAAATGATTGTATTCTCGGATTCATTGTTTACGCTAACCAGTGGTGGCGGCCTGTTGTGATAAGAATCCAATCCGAGCATGTTTTCCCTGCCTAGGGTGATGCTTAACTCCGTTTCCATTGAGTAGAGATCCCACCACGTTCGAGAGACAACGACGCTGGGGGAGTCCTGTGGGAAATGGCGGGTTCGGAATGGTGCGATTCGATTGATACCCATTGAGAATGACGTCCGAAGGGCAGTTCCGAGATAGGTGTATGCAAGATTCGGGTTTAATTGGTGCTGGCAGACCTGTGCCATAATCATTGCAGCCTGAACCGCTTCTAGGTCGTTTAATGACCCTAGACGACCCATCGCTAATTCGGCTCTTTCGAAAAGCATAAGCGCCCACGTATTCCGATCCATTCCGTTGATAGAATCCTCTATCCAAGTCCGTGTAAGTGCACCAAGTGACAACACGGCGAAATACAATACCTTGAAGCTCTGATGGATCGAGATTCCGCGGCCAGTCCAAAGGGAAGAACATCGCTCTAGGAAAACATGTTGGTCAAGAATGGGATGGACGTAATGGAGAGTCTTGAAGTAGCTATCGATGAAGAGGAAGGCATAGTGTGGATAGTAGTTTTCTTGGACCTTATCGAAGACCCTTAGGGTTTCTCGAAATTTCATAAATGCTTCGTTTTGGAATTCGATGACGGCTTGTCGGCTGAGAATAGGACATCCAAGAAATCGACTCGCAGAGTTTCTCTCCTTCAGTTTCATGAGGCGGTCTAGGAATGCCAGTGAAGAGGTTCGACCATGAAACTCGAATCTCCTACTCACACCATTGATGTCCATAACGTCGGTTGAGATGTCGTCCGGCGCTTCTTTGTTCGGTATGTCCACAGGTGCGGCACCCTGCCTTGCTGCTCCAGCGATAGAGTCGATCGTACTATCACCACTCTCGCTCGGCCATAGTACGTTCAGTTGCGATTGCTGTACTACCACATGTTCTTTCACACTTCCCGTCTGTTTTGGGTCTGTATTGCCTAGCTGTGGGATACCTTGAATATGAAGTGCAGCCTCTGCCCTCTCGAGGGACTTCTCCAGGTCCTTCACATATCTGTCCAATCATAAGTGTTCTGTCATAAGTACAGAGAGCGACTATCTCTTACCGGATTGAATACGGGGAATGGCTGTTAACCTCCCCTTGAAAGATGCATTCCCGTCCTAGTCCTTCAGCAGTAGTGATTGCGGTTAGACCAGGGACGAGTCCAACATGAGATTATCACTCACTTTGACAATGAAAGCATGGAAGGTGGCCATCGCATTTGTACTTTTTGGCTCGACAAGTATTGCAGGCCTGGACTACACGTGGGTATCTCCTTTTGTTGACGGGCATCTTTGGTTGGACGACACTGTGAGGGTCACGATGAATACGGTCGTTGCACCCTCTTCCATAATGAGATTTGGAAGATGTAGCGGAAGAGAGTTAGAGTGTGCGAATTTGCACCCAAATTCCATTGGCATTCCATGTACGGGTACGACGACAACCTGGCAGAAACGAATGGTCTGACATTGCGTAGGCGGTGAAGTCCACGACCTGGCAGGACCGCAGCGGAATCGTGCCCGTCGTGCTTTTGTTACGAATATATCAAGGCAATCAATCTGGATCCTTGAAGTCCCAATTTGCATTAGTCTGAGTTCTGACACAATAGGCACATCCTAAGCGTATGATCCATAGATTAAAATGCGCTTGGGTGTCTTAGGCCCCGTGTTCATGCTCTAATTAGCGCACTGTCCCAGCGCAGCAAGGGGGCGGGCATAAACCGCCAAAGTCGGCTTACTTACTTGGAAGAGGAAAATGCCAAAATGGTACCAATGCTGAGCCCAAGGCGAAGCCATCGTCTTCCACTCGCAGGTTAGAGCGCGAGGTTCGGTCAAACCCTTTAGTTCGCCACCGAGGCAAGAGGCGAAACGGAAGAAGATTTGGCGAATTCCAGGATAATGCCCATTTGAAAATTTCATCTTATGAGTTTATTAGAGATGTTGTGGTCTCCAATGTCCATTGGCGCAATCGCTTGTTATATCTATCTCCCATTCGGAAATTCCGAGTCCATACTACCCGTCCTTGCCACATACACTATCTATCTATGATGGACATGCTATATTCAATGAATGGTATCGCCTAGTAATAAGATGAACGACCTACAGATTGTCGTCTTCCTAGACAGCAGGTTTGTTAGTTCTTTTAAGAGCTTCGTGCGCTCTAATACAATTCCAACGCAAGGCGCCAAGCCATCATGCAGAACATGGCCTAAATTCGGGATCGTGGGCCATCCTGAGCAGAGCATGAGCAATCTGATACCAGTTAGATCAGATGTTAAGCAGGTCTAAGCAAGACGTGAGCGACCCTCTGGAGCGGACCGGAAGTGTACGACTCATCCCATTTTGTACTAGCTGTTTCAGTTTCCAGCCATTCAACCACTGTAATCTACTCGTCTCCTCCGTTCTATACTAAGTCTAGACACAGTCTTTACTGCAGATATCACAGAATCAGAGCACTTTCATCATCCTACTCATATAGTACGGAATCACTCGTGTTCCTCCTCGTCTGCACAGGCGAGTACAGCTTCAGGACTTCTCCGCGTCTGCTTACTAATATCGAGTAGCCACTAGGGCACGCCGTCCTCATAAAGTCTTCATGAAATCTAACCCGATTTAGCCCTAGCGCTCATAAATGCCCTCATAAATACTAGCCCAATTGGGTATAGCATTACCCAAATGTAAGTGCCTGAGGCACCCACATCGGTATTTGTAGATTCTACCCATTCGTATAGCTCTCTCCAACTGTATATAGTCATGTAACCAACATTTTCATCACTTAAATGACCAAACCATAGCAGGAATGGACGTGTATATACGTAGCTTCAATCCTGAATTCTTCATAAAGAAGGCAGGTTACATGACTCAGCGTGATGACTCATCATGCTGAATCAGCAACGCACGGGCCCATTACTGCCACCTTTTATGAGATCCCTCCGTAATTCATCATTTAATCCAGATGAGCTCATTTGGACTGCCCTAGTAGCCACACGCACCCTGGAAAGTCCATCAGTAAGTAGTGGCGGTGTCGTAATGAGCCGAGGTTGAGCCGGGCGGGGATTTTGCTGATCCGTCCCCTAAGAGAGTAGATTCGACCCGATAATAGCTTCATATATAACGTATTCCACAAGCGAGTGGCCCATACAAGCGAGTGGCCCAGCTCATTTTACTAGTAAATTCGACAAAATTCGATATCAATATCTCAACAACCACTGGATAATATAGTCTGAAAACTTAGAGTTAGGTTTTCCTAGCCATTTCTAGCTTACTATTGAAATATTAAAGCCCTAGCTTTTACAGGTATAGAGATACCTACTTCTTGGCAAGATTTAGAGACCAAATCTCTATATCTTTATAACTATAAAAGATAAAGCTCTAAGATTCTAATAATAAGCTAGAAATCGATAGGAAAACCTAATTCTAAGTTTTCAGACTATATTACCCAGTGGTTGTTGAGATATTGATATCGAATTTTGTCGAATTTACTAGTAAAATGAGCTGGGCCACTCGCTTGTATGGGCCACTCGCTTGTGGAATACGTTATCAATTTGAGTGGTTATAATGTCATATCTAATCTTGAGATACAACGCGTTGGTGAGGTGCGCCACTCGCTTGTGGTTGACATTACCAATACAATATAATGATCATTTTTGCGACAAGGCCGGTCTGCGGCTCATCGACTACAAGCAAGAATAATCCCCCGAAGGGAAGCGAGGCGACTTGGAGGATTGGCTTTCTCAACTAGACCTCTACTTCGCCTTCAACCCGGTAGAAGAAGTCAAGAAGACCCTCACGCCAAGTATAATAAACGTTTCCTTCGATCAGTGTTGAACTTACGCCCCTTCGCGAGGGAAGCGAAGTTCGCTAGTGAGTTCCATTTTAGGATTTTGGCGGTGTCAACATTTCGACGAGACCATGTTGTGTATTGCAAGCCGAGAGAGAGAATAGTTCACTGGGCGATGTCTACTGCAGACTTTTTTGGTTCTGCTCGAATTGGCGAGGTTGCACAATCATCAGCACGAGAAGATTCAAAACGGGAAAAGAGAGGCTTATATTTCAAGGTAGCACGATCACCCACTCCGATCGACTTCTTCTAAGATAAATGTCTAGGATGCACATATGTTTGCGATGTTCAGCAAGGACAGAGGGAAAACGGAGCTTTGTATTCGGTTCACAAAAGACGAGAAGGGAAAGAGTGAGGTACTACAAGACAGGTAGGCTGGCCAACAGGATTCCTTGCAAGATCATTCGCTTACATCTTAATAGGGGCCAGGTAACATTTTACGAAAATATGGAAGGTTCTCTTTACGAAAACTGCTTTCTCTTTTGCCTAGTAATACTCTTAGCCCGACCGACTTCAGCTTCTGCGACAGCTTTTAAATATCGAGATCAAAGAGCAACAGAGATTCTTTAAAATACACTGGAAGCATGGGTTCCGCAATAAACCCTTCTTTGAATGCCCAACGAATGACCTAGGAGAAGTTGAAAAGGCAGAAGCGGTCCACCGAAGGCATAAAGACGCATGTTATCGTGCAGGTTTACCCAATGCCCCAAACTTTCACGACTTTAGGCGAACGGGCCTCAATAATGCTGGTATATATATAAGATCTTTGCTACTGTGATTACTACTAATGAACATTTTTCTGCAAAACAGCCCACAACTTAGAAATTAGCTGAGATTATGATCGTAATCGATTCTTCACACTTCATTCAATTATAATCAACTATTACAGCCCTCCCAAATAATGGTTAGAGGGCGCATGAGGGGGAAAGGCCCGCAGGCCAAAGACGCGTCCCCGACGCGTCCCCAGCAGGCGGACCACCCACGACCCAACACCCGCAACGGAGTAGGAGAACAAAATGGACGGATGGATGAGGGGCGGATGCTCCAAATTATGGAAAACCATATAAAACTCGCGTTAGAGAGCTGCCGTGGATGGGCTAGGGCGGGGTCGCTCCGTGGAGTTCTTAAGGCTTACCTAACGCCCGTTCTCCGGCTTATTCCGGAGCTAGTATAGAGAAAGAGTATAGGAAAGGCGCAGGCGGGAATACCCGCCAGGGACCCAGCGATAGGTTAAATATTAGAGCGTCTTAGACGTATTGAAGCTGGAATCGCGAAAGACCGCGGTCGCCCAGCCGCGGCCCTAACTACCGAGACACGAACCTAGAGTAAGATCGCCGTAGGGGGAAAGACCAAGGCGGTCGTTGAAGTACGCCTCTCTAAAATGGCAGGAGCCGTAGAAGAGACGACGGAAGAGAAACTATAGAGAATCAAGAAGGTAATCCTAGACGCGAAAGCGATTATCCCCTACTACCGGGCAGCCGGTAAGGTGTCGGTCGTGGTTCCTACTACTACCCGACGGGACTAGATTATCGCTACTGGAATCGCTAGGGATAACGGCATTAAACTAATCCGTCGCCCGAAGCTACTTATAGTAATGGGTATCCCGATTTACACATAGATTACAACCGGTAAAAGTAAGGGGAACACCGAATAGGCGAGACAGATGTCGAACTAAAACGCTATCAAAATTAAACGAATCTCCTGGCTCTATAAGAAAGAGAAGCTGGCGGCTATCCGGAATGCTGGGTCACAGACGAAGGGATCAATTATTATCGAGGTAGCTACCGAAACTGACGTGATACGTCTTATTAAGGACGGCTTCCTATATGGCGCCCTATAGCTCCTAGCCAAACTATAGGACGTTACTCTCCGGGCGATCTAGTGCTTCCGCTATTAGAAATAGGGCTATACGCAGTCCGTTTATAACGCGGACAGCGACACCTGTGGGCGCTGCGCAAAACACTACCCTATAAGGGGATATATAATACAAGACCTTTAAGAGGCAAGGTGCGCAGGGTATAAGAAACCTGGGCACTTTGCCTAGATGACCAGAAGCTACGCGGTATATAAATCCTTCGTAGCTGGCCAGCGAGCTATAGAAAACCGCCTTAATAAAGCTACCCTCGCCGTCTACCGGGGGCAAAACCAAAACCAAAACCAAAACCAAAACCAAAATGTCACAACCCACCAGTTCCGCCACGATAACGATGGATATATCGTTATTAGCAACACCCAGAAGCGGAGGAGGGCGGGACCTAGGAGGCCCTTAGGAATCACGGTAGTAGCCCGAGCCCTAGGGTAGCAGCGACTCTAGCTCTCGGCTAGTTAACCGGAAGACTTTATATCCGGCATTAGTACTTCTACCTTTACGATACCTACCGGAAAGGATATAACCGGAGAGGACACGATATCTACCGAAAAGGACATAACCGGAGAGGATACGACACTTACCGGAAAGGATAATACCCCTAGTACTTAATAATAGGGACCGGCATCCTCTAATATAACTGCGGTAATGCGAACAACGACAAGGCTAGGGCTACCTTCGACTCGATTGACCCTACCCGGTTCCCTATACTTGTAATTCAGGAACCGATGGTCGCCGAAACCAAACCAACAGTCACCTATACACCAAAGAATTTTCACCCAAGCCGACCTATATACTACGGTATACGGGTCGTCTTCTTTATCTACGATAAGATCCTTCTTACAGCTTGGGAATCAAAGCGAGCCTCCGACCACATCGAATGGATCCGCGTTATAACGCGTGACGGACCCCTCAACCTCGTTAACGTATATAATCCACCAGGGCACGTAGGCTAGCCACAGCTTGAGAAGTGGCCGGAGATCGTAGAAATTCTCTGCGAAATTGGCCAAGAGAACGTTATCCTCCTAGGGGACTTTAACTACTATTACCCAGCCTGGGGTAGAACCGGAACCCTAAAGGAGCTAAAGGTAGACTACCTACTCCTCTAAACCGAGTAAGCTAACCTCTAGCTCCTTAACGAGTAAGGGGTAATAATATAGAAGCGGAACTAAAGCTAGTCGGTTATTAACCTAGCCTTTGCCTCGCCGGAGATCGCCTTACGGATCCTCCTCTACTACCTACGGCCGGAGTAGTCTACTATAAAGGACCACTTTCTAATCGAGATCTAACTAGATGCTAAGGTTTCCTTATACTAGACGAGCCTAAGGTTCACACTCAAGGATGCCCCGTAGGAAAAAATCCGGGAAGATGTCTCTAGCTCCTAGTAGTATGTGCCAGAACCCTATACTACGATTAACAACCTTATTAGACTTCTTTACGGCACCTTAGACAAGCACTATAAACGGGCGCGACCTTGTGACTAGTCTAGACCGGAGTAGTCACCATAGGCAGCAGAGTTCCTAGCTGGCGCCCGCTAGGCCCGACGCCGGCTCTAACGGACCTAGGACCCGGACGACGAACGAGACTAGAAATACTAAAGGAATGCCCTAAGGAGGAAGATGCGTAGTAACGGCCGGACGAGATAGAGAAAACTTATCTAGACACTTACTAAAGACGAGAATTACCCGGACTATATATATAACCGAGGGCTCTAGAGACTAAATAAGTAGAGCCAGAAGACCGCTAGGCAACCCGGTAGGCTTACAGCTATCCTACTACTTAGGCGCACGGAGAACGATCCCCCGACGGGAGATAACTAAGGGAAAGCAGAGATCCTTGCTATAAAGTTCTTCCTACGGAGCGGTGCCGCTGACCTCTAAGATATAACCAACGAATAGTTCCCACGATTCGATATCGGGCAAGAGGTTACCCTAGATAAGATCACCCGGATTATCCGCCGGCTACCGAACCAGAAGGCCCCCGGGCCTAACATGATCCCGAACGAGGTACTAAAGGCCCTCTCTAATATCCTAGCCGTAGACCTAGCCCGGACGGTCACCGCTCTCTTCCGAAGCGGGGAGCTACTAGCAGTTCTAAAGGAATCTACTACGGTGGTACTAAGGAAGGACAAGAAAAAGGACTACTCTCTTCTAAGCAGCTACCGCCCTATTACTCTTAAAAACACGGTTATAAAGCTAATCGAGAAAATCCTCGCAGATCGACTGATCACTGAAGCGGAAATACGAGATCTGATTCCCTAGAACCAAATGGGAGCTCGAAAGGAGAGATCTACTCTCTCCGCCCTAGAACTCCTTACCGGGACTATATAGACGGCGTAGCACGTAAAGAAGTCTGTGGTCTCTATACTTGGGCTTGACCTTGCTGGAGCTTTTGATAACGTCTCTTACCCCCGGCTGCTCTAGGTCCTTCGTCGGATAGGATATCCCGAATAGATTATCTAGATAATCGCATCTTTCTTAACCGGACGGCGAACAAAGATTCTCTTCTCGGACTTTAAGAGCCGCTAGTTCGACACGGAGACAGGGATCCCGCAAGGCTCTACCCTATCACCCGCGCTGTTTATCCTATTTATTGAGATTGGAATATCTGTAGAGGCTCAATCTTCCACGATTGGAATATCTACAAAGGCTCAACCTCAGGCACAGTGGGTAAGGAACTCCATATAGTTCAAAGGAAGAAAGATAAGACGAAGAACGATACCAGCTGTAGCTGTTGTTCTCAGAATGACAGTCTAATATCTGTAGAATAGTTGAGTTGTGATTTACTAAATAACAGTACAGGACTGCTCATTATATAGCCTTCCTGCCTATCTGTTTGCAGCAAATTCCCTACCTTTGTCTTTAGAAGAATGTTCGTACAAAGGAAAGGTTGGTAAAAGAGATTGACCACCTTGAAAGGGGTCATCCAAACATCAAAGGATCTTGATGCCTGAGGCATCAAGTTCCACACAGGTTGGAAACAAAGACAACAGCTTGTCGTTGAAGACAGCCATGTCAACACTATTTATATCTAACCTACTATATCAGTTTAAGGATGTTCAGGGTAACGTGCTCGGGTTCGGGTTCGTTAATAATACTACACTGGTTACCTAGGGAGATACGGCAGTAGCTAACTGCCAACGACTAACTGCGGCCTACGATACTTGCCTGGAATGGGCGTCACGGTTCGGGGCTAAATTTGCCCCGGATAAGTACTAGATTATCTACTTTACTAAGAAACGTAATATTTCCGCTAATCTCCGGTCTACGATCTAAATATAGGGATATTAAGCTAAATTAGTTATATCCCTCCGGGTACTAGGAGTTTGGCTCGACCCTTCCCTCTTATAGAAGGACTATATCCTCCGGGTAATATAGAGGGGACTTAAGGCCTTCGACTCCCTGGCGAGGGTAACTTTATCGGTATAGGGACTATCCGTCCGGAAATCGAGGCTGCTCTACATAGCGGTTGCACGGCCTATTATAATATACGGCGCCCCTATTTGGGGAGTCTGTTAGTAGGGTGAGCTAATCTCTGAAGGCAAAATGAAGGACCTAGCTAAGGTTCAGAACAAGTGTCTACGAAAGATCCTAGGGGCTTATAAACGGACACCAATCGCCGCGCTTGAGAGAGAGGCGGACGTTCCCCCAATCGAACTCTACGTCCAAGAACGGGCCGCCCAAAGAGCAGCATCGACGAATACCCACAAGATCACTACCTAGATTAAGGGAGCCCTAACGCAAGTCTAGGATACTACTTCTGCTCCCCCGAGACGAACTCGAGGCCGACCCCGCCGTATCCGGTCTAAACCTAAACCCGCGATAAGTACGCTTCGGACCTAGTATAACAGACTTCTATTCCCCCGGCCCGAACTAATTAGAGGATATTAGATATAATAGCGAAAAGGCCCGTACCGGATGATCTAGGACGAGTATCGAGCGAAATAGAGGGAGAGATAGTAAGCCGAAGCGGCCAGACTAGGAAGGAGAGTAAGGACATAGAAGGACCCGTAGGAAACCCAGTACCTTAACCGGTACGACGGCCTTTAGAAATACGAGGCCTCGGCGCTTATAGTACTACGGACTAAGGTAGTTAGAGTTAAAGGATGGCTCGCAAAAATTAGTATCCCTGGAATCCACCCAGCGTATGAGTACGGTGCCCCCCGACAGTCTCTCTACTATCTCCTTACATTTTGCCCGCAGCGGACCGACCAGAGGATCGAGCTCCTCTAACGAGCTGGAACAACGGACTTTAAGAGGATATTGCATAACAGGGACAAGGTGCGCCACGCAGCAAGGTGGCTGATCAATGCGGGAGGCCTAGAGCAATACCGGGTGGCCAAGGAAGTTAAGGAGGAGGTAATAGAGGACTAGAAACCGTTCCAGCTCCTCCACGACGTGCCAGAATAAGCTCTCCGCGTAGGCGGAAACACCGACTCTTACGGATAGATAATAAACGTTTAAGATAGTCTACTAAAGGGAGGAGGCGGGATTTTATATACCCGCAGCCTCAGGGCTACGGGGAAACTTTTGCCCGCGGCAGACCAGATAGAATATCGTGCTCATAGACCCGAAAGGGATCCAGATAGTACGTTAAATTGATTCTTATTATTATTATTATTACTACTAATTGTTCTCTCAGATGGACAAAACTCGGAACCGTCCCGCATGCGACTTGCAGGTCACGCCAAAGCAGGCATTTTCCGCGGGCATTACCAACCCAGAGAAACCATCGACGGGGCGGCAAACTTTCTTGACAAAGATAAGAGAACGGACGTCCTTGAAATTAGCCGACAGCTGAACATTCCCTACATCCCATATCTGCTGCAGTCCCTGCCCGCGGAAGAGCTCCATAACCTTCAGCGTAGCAGAGAATATCAGAAATTGCAAAGGCAGATAGATGGGGAAACGAAAATATTCGAAGTTACCAAGGATGCTGGAATCGCTAAAACTAGATAGATTAAAACGGTTGCGGGCAAGCCAGGCCTACGATAATCCGCCCAGATACGAGCATGAGATATACTCTCGCTTCAGATTTATGCTGTCGCGAGAAAGGCGTCGCCTCGAGGTCAACTTGTTCGAAGAGGTGCCGTTAAGGAGCCCAATTGGTATGTAAGTTATCGAAGATCTCCTCACTCTCTACCTTCGGGATAAAGAGGTGGAATTTCGACTGGGTTTAGAGCCAGACCGGTGCTTTTGTTCCCTGCCCAGTCACAAGTACGACTAGAGACATATTCTGGACTGCTACAAGGCCTATTACACTAAGATTCATGGATTCGCCGAGCTCTGCTTCCTTTACAATGTCTGGATTCATGACCGGGAGGAATGGGAGGGGCACTGCCAAGGCCACATCGACTATATTGCCCAGTTTCCTATTTGGGTTGATCCGCTCGTATATGACGGAGTTCTTGCGGTTGCGGGATTTTGCGAGTGTTGCTTAATCAATCCGCGATTACCAGCTTCTGCACGAATGCGTCAATTTCCGTGGCGCCATACCTGGTACCGTCATTATCAATCGCACTACGAGGATTCCAAGTTCGAACCGAAATGCCGCCATGGATCGTTTACTTCCCTCCTTGAGCTACAGCTCCACCTCCATGACCGCCACGGTGTGCGTATCCCTGAGATATCAAGGCAGTGTGGGCAAGGTAAGCGGCGCAGACCGGAAATTGCAGAACCTTACTTCCGCAGAAACTGCAAGCGACGCAAGGCCTGCAGTGACAACGAAGAGGAGCAGGAGACGACATGTGTATTCCTAAATAGCACCGTTGATTCCATTGCCTCGAATCTAGTTGAACAACGCTCGGCAAAGTTGTCAGTAAGAACTCCTTCACCGCCAGCCGGCTTCGACTGCGCACCGATATTCGACAGCGGTTGCTCTGTCTATCCTGATATTGATCTGGTAAACTCGGATGCTGCTTCTGGACCGTACTATACCTTGAGCGACGAGCCAAAACCCGGCCCTACCGACCAGGGTTCTCAGCGTATTCCTACGCCGGATTTCATTTCGGACGCTGAATTTATAGATATTGACGATTGTTCCGTTGATTTGGGAGATAACCTTGAATCAGCTGCTTTAATAACGGAAATCGAAAAGATCGACCTTACCGGCAGAGTTAAGATCGGAGAATTGGCGGACATGGTGTCTGAGCTAATCCAGGATAGAAGATGATCGCAAACACGATGGTAATCCGGCTGGGATCCTGGCTGAGCCGGATTTCGCTGCCATGTCCGGTCCGGATTCCGAGGATGCTGCTGACCCTGAGAATGACACCTGCCTCTCCATTAAACATTTCGCTGGCCACAGGAGAGCTGATGTCTATGACGGCCACAATCGGACGGTGACGCTGCCGGATTATGCGTTCTCTAGTCTCAAAGGTGCTAGCGAGGTGCATAAACCTGATTATCTTGTGCTACGTGGAGCTCAGGGTGAGTAGCAAAACTTTTTCCAGAGGAGACAGAGTGGCTTAATTTGTTTTTAATGCAGACCATATCGCTACACCCGCACACGATGGGCGACGGGTCAGTGAGCATGACCGCGCCAATTGTGAACAGCATGACAGCCGATCGCCGCACGACCGAGATGTTCCCATCGATCCACTGCTAGTATCGAATGGCGTTATCGCTACTTTTAGGAGTAGGTCTTCACCGTCGACTTTAAAGCTATATACAAGTTAATCAATTCTAGACAGCCTTCCAAAGGGTACAGGAGATTCTCCTATCGAGGGCATCGCCAAATACCCATTACTGCGGGTAGAAGATGATGAGGTGGAGTCAGAAGGTGACGAAGAGGAGTAAGAGGTTGAAGCTATTGTCGGTCATAAACCAACAGACGGGACGTATAGAGTAAAATGGAAAGGATGGCCAAGTTCAGCAAACACGTGAGAGCCCATTGAGCACCTTCGAAAATGCCAGAATTTGATAGAAGAGTTTCATCGGCAATACTATCGTTGTCGTCAAAGGCCCAGAAAGAGGAGACGAGCATAGAGAACAGGAGAGACGTTCCATATTCGTACCTAGCCCCGATCTCTCTCAGATCTGGGTGAAAATGCAAAGCTTGAGGAAGGATTCACTTATTAGAGCCTACTAGGTCGAATTCTCTCAAGGCTCGGAAGAGAATAGGGAGAGGACGTTAGATTAGAGGACAAGACACTTAGGATTGCGGTCTACTCTACGAAAGTACTCTTCATGACTTTCAAGAGTTCACAATTTAGACTATTAATAAGGATCGCAGGCTTTAACATTTAGCTTCAAATTCTAGAGCTCAGTGAAATGAGGTGAAGTCGAAGCGAAAAGCTAGGTTTTCGTTCGAGAAACCATCTCTATATCGCCTCCTTTGTACGATGAACGCTCAATCAGCGTGTACTCCATCAAAGTAGAAGTTATTCCGTTGAGCCTGACTTCCAGCTTCTCTAGATTGATCCGCCGGTTTTCGAGTCGAGTCCCAGCATGAATCCTTACAGTCTAGGTCAGCTCCTATCCAGGGATCTTCAAGGGAGCATTACAGATCACTGTATCGGTTGAAGATTGCTGATGGCTTAGTGCTCATCGGGTTAATATAATCCTGTTTTACTGGGTCGCAGGAGTATCTCGATCATATGAAGGTGCAAACTTTGCAAAACTTGCGAAGAGCATTTCAAAATCCCCGGTAGTCTTATACATGTGAGTAGAGGGTGTTTCCTCTAATTGTTCCGGCACGCTCATGTGTTCCATCATGCAGGGGGAGATTACCAATGCATGGTCAGACAAATTTTGTATATGCACCTACAAACACTAAACAAATAGACACAAACTATGGAGGTAGTCCAATAATCGAGGAAAGGGTAACTCTGAATTGTCCTGGACGAAGCGAGCCGCTAAAACTATCTGCAGGCTGTGATTTGGCCGACGTTTGGTTAATGGTTTTGCCGCCGCTGGCGGTGGCTCAGCCGATTGAGCTGATTTGTTTAAAAGGTCTCCCATGGTCATGATACGTGGACCTGTGTCCCCTCTGACACATCCAGCTCCAAGGCGTCCGCCGTTCCCTGTTGTTTCCTTGTCGGTCGTCCGTTGCTGTTGCGTAGCACTGTCTATTTCATGGTTCTTGTTTTCAGTTCCCACATAAGTGTCATTCCGCGAACTACTTCCAAGTCTGCAACCGTGAGCTTTGAAGTGGCTGATTTTAGTACAGATATTAAACCCAATCGAGTTCAAATATATGTTTCCGTCCCTAAAGACCAGACTCTGAGCGAATTTCCAACTCTGAAGGCGACAGTCTACCTTAGACTGCTCCCTTAATCTCGCTCTTATAATAGCATCCATTATACTCAAATCCCCGAGGGCTAGTTTGCAGATGTCGGTACAAATGTCGAAGGCTTGTAACTCGATGCAATCGGATCTTGTGTGCTGCGCGATTGTTCCTCTGCGGCGGGAGAATTCCGTTTCGAGGCCGGTTAGATCAGCTCGTCGTTGATCTAGATCGTTGCTGATCCTACTTAGAATAGCTTTGAACGTTTCTGGCATGTTGGGATTCTAGGAGTGATCATTCGCGATATAGTAGTAAGTTAAATTGCTGGTTAGGCGGCCACGGTCCGAGATCCAAACACCGTCATTATTACAGCATAGCAAGCAATAGGATGATGACATCACTCGGCGATAACCGTTACCGTCTCTACAACTACAGCTTTCTCTTATCCATAAGTTTCCGATCCGAACCAGCTTATTATGATAGTAGAATGCAAACGCCAGGTCTTAACGCCAAATATACCAATCTACGTACTTCTAGATGGATATATATCAATCAGATCTAAATCAACTTCTTAGGGCGCAGACTCCACTAGCAAAACTTCTTCACAACCTTCTATCGGCTTCGAGAACGGGTGCTAGGGGCTAACCATCCGTATTTCATTTCTTCCTCGAATACGTTAGCGGACTGGGATGCGGAACAACGAGGTGCTCGCACGGTGAAAGAAGTTAGAGCAAGACCCTGACAAAAGCGGCTAGGATTGCTGTGGCTTGAGGGCACTCTTTTAATAGACCCAGCGGGTCCCAGTAAGTTACTGTACCATCGAAATGTCCGGATTTGTGCCGCCAGCAAAGATCTCATTAGTCGATATTTGACGAGAGCCAGACGACTCCGGTGTCCTAGAGGAGGGCGGAGTTCCTCTCTGAGGGCTTTTACTACATCCTCTCTAAGGCCGCAGCGTAGAGCATACATGAGGTACGCCCTCAGCTGTCGAATATACTTCAGCGCCTCTTTGAAGCATCTCAAGGACGACCATCTCATTCTTCCATTTGGTAGCATATATATGGGTGCAAAATGAGCCTTAATAGTGTCACAGAATAGAGGAAATCCCCAAGAATTATCCCCGTATTGGTGATTATGTCACCAATGGGATAAATTCCGGACCAAGGAGGAAGATAAAACGCACGAACTCATAATGGAATCAGGGCAAGGACTGTAACGCGAAACTCGGTTTATCGAAACAATACTAGGAAAGGGTCACGTGACGTAGGCACGTGACTTGGAGATGTCTCTGTCCTGTGTCCTCACAGATTAACAGCAGAGGGGAATTCGGAGGTGGACCGGTTCACGAAAGAATAACTAGAGGCGTCTGTTCCCTGAATGGCGTTCCGTCACACATCCTGAGTTCTAATATATAGATGATGGTAGTATAATTGAGGTTTTGGTGTGGGTTGAGCGTTTGGCGTCGGAGTACCAATAACCGGAGGTTGTAGGGCGGTAATGGGGCACGGATATATAAGTACATGAAATTGTTGGGTGAAGCTTCAAGAGGTTCAGTTCATGTTTATGACTATGGTATCATTCTAAATTCTTTAAGTATGAACAAACGGTTACTCAAGTCTATATATGAAGGTAGTGACCATCCGTAGGCGGAGAACCAGGAGATCACAATACATATCAGGCTGTTTTTTGACTTGAAAGACAATTCTCATTGGCTTGTGCAGCTTCTGACGTTGGCCGGTCATAATCCAATGTAGGAGCGGTAGTATTATGTATAATATGTCCCATCATGGGACTCGTTTCGTTACGCTGAATCGAATGCCATACTCCCAGGACCATGAGTTCGGAATGCTTATCATATACAGCACTCCACTAATTCCTGACTCCGTATGTAAGGATCCTTGCAGTATATAAGGCCCAATACCCAGGTTCCGCCTGAGCATGGATACTGGTGTCTCTTTTGGCATTGTGTCGCAGTTGGTTGGGCCGTTGCGTCTCACACCGTATACTGATAACTCCAGTGTATCCGACTTTTTATACAGAATCTGCCTTGGGGGGAACGGTAGACACAGCGTATCCGCCGTGTAAATCTGAAAGGAGAAAAAGGGTAAGGAAGAACAAAATGTAATAGCAACTCAAGATTTCACGAATTCCGTGCGAATATCTAAGTCCGTCTGCTTCAGAACAACTCTGTCGGACTCAAGTAATTCGTATTCGCTGTTATCGTAGGTTCCTGGGTAACAATCGCTGGTATGGCCTGGCCAAGCACCCCTCGACCTTGGGCTCTCCGATTTTAAGTCATAAGCGCCCCGCCGCATCGTGGTCCATTGACTTGGATGGGCCCCGCTGGTTCTGCTGCTCCCGTTGACGGTGATGCCGACACGTCTCAGGGCACGTTCAAAGAATGCCTTGAGACACGGCACGCAAGCGGCAACGATTCCAAGGTAGACCTCAACAAAGCCCCATACCAGTAGGTACACGCTATCCCAGGTGGGGTCCATGAGGGACGCGGTTGAACCATTATCGGGGGTTTTGAAGACGGAGACGCCGCTGACCACCCTAACGATGCTTGCAACTGATGCGCAGAGACCCATGGCCATGAGAATGGCGAGGACTATCTTTTCGCGGAGGGGTCGATTGATTTTGAAAATGAAGGTGAGCGGGATGAGAGAGAAAAACACGTCGCTGATGATAATAATGACTAGGTAGGACGCCGTTAGTAGGTGACAATGATGGGAGAGGGCAGCAAGCACAGTACAAGGACCGCTCCTCGGTTCCACTATTCATTCCTCTTTGAACATGCGGAGTAGGAGCGGACGGTAAGAACCGATTAAAGTGCATATAAAGGTCTGCTTGGATCGATTTCAGGTAGGACGAAAAATCAGTAACGCACTTGAAGTTGAAATTACGGTATAGAATCCTTTCTTTGGTTTTCTGCAGTGCGCTGCTAACTCAGGTTTCACAGCTCGGTTCCAAAAGTCGCTGGTCGGTATACATTCCGTTGATATAATGACAGTGTACGCGATGGCCGCTCCCATAAGAATGACGATCGAGCCCCACATGCCCCATATCCAGATCTTGCTTCGTCGGATGCGGAGGAGCATGAAGGCTACACTGATCTTCGTGAAGGTCACCGACCACATCAGCGCAAGCTGGGAGATGTAGGTCAAGAGCATAATCCCAACCATATGGTTGGGAGTGACGGTAATTGCATGGCGGCCAAAGCCGTAGGCCGCGCTCTGGCACGTCACACCAAACAGAATTATAGCCAATATCTACAGGCTTTAGCGTTGAAGAATTACTAGCACACGCAAAAGGACTTACAACTGATAAGGTGATGCTATAATCATCCCAACTGACCCTCATCTTCGGCCGGATCCGTGAGTAGAGCCGTAAGCCATAAAACCCCAAGGAAAGGAGCAGTAGTACTGTGAGAGGCCCAAGTAGAACGCCTTGTCGGGACTCATTTGGGTCGGGCGGAGGGGCCATCAATTCCGGGTTGACGTTAGCGGCCATCAGGAGAGTAAATTACGCTTGACGACGACGAGCGTAAGCAAAGGCGAGGAGACGGGTAAGGGTTGAAGTTCCAACAGCACGGTATCCTCCCAGTCATTGAGACGGAGCTGCCCGTTTCTCGTGCAGGGTCGATCATGAAGCTACTGTCGCCGGAATTTAACAAACGAATAGGATGATCGACAAATATCCCAGGGGACAAACAGGATGTAGACACCGCGTCGTTTTAATGCACATCCTCCAGGTTTCAGAAGGTCCAATTTTCGCCTTCGGGAGGTAGGGTCGACCGGTCTGATCCCAGCCGAAAGCCTAAATTCCTTAGCGTCTCGTGTGCCAGTAAATGGCAGGGGGGGGACGGGGGGTTGAACGGGCGTAGGAACTGAGTCAGAGCAGTAGCTCGAACCGTGGTACAAGTACGGGGTCATACGGTTACGCGACACAGCCATGAATCAATGGATCGCAGATTTGGCGGTTTTGTGCGTTGAACGGAGAATTCGAGGGTTACTGAGGCTTCTGAGTGACTCGCAGCAAGACCTAGCCGTGTGCTAGGGGAGCCGATGGGAACTGGGGAAACCTTGTCCCTGTCCCTGTCCCATGTTTACCTGACAACCTGCCCAGGCTGGAGAATCGTATTTCGCAACATCCTCTTATTTGTATCAATTTCTAGTGTCTCTGAAAATTCTGTGCCATACCATGCCTGCCATGCCCTCCCAAGGAATTGAATGGCTTATATCTGCATATCTCTACTTTAGATCCTGGGTTCGTGCCCGTTAAGATAACGGTGCGACCGACGGCGATCGAAAGTCACGAGTCTAGTCTCAGGCGATCAGGCGATCAGGCACCCAGGTTGCCATTGACAGAGTCTAAGTCAGGTACAAATTACTACTCTGGCTGAGCCATCAAAGCCATCCGAGTGCTCATCGTAACATAGTACTGCTTTTGCATTATGCTTATATAAATGCCATCGATTTCCTAACAGAGAACAGACTTTTTCATCCCTCATCCGAAACGGGAGCGGAACGTAGAAAAGCAGTGTTGTATGTGTGGCAATTCTTACGTCTGCTAGACTGCCAAATGTGCCACCAGCATTCTACCAGCGATCCTGAATATAAACCAGCTGCCTCTTTCGGTTGTTCCACTTGCATGGTGCGTGGGTAGTCCGGAATGTCGGACCCATCTCCACGGCAATCCTGTATTTTCGGCATGCCCCTTGTCAGCTCATTCTGGCCTCTGCATGACTGGACGCCTCCGCAATTCTATTCAGTGTCGAAGTACCACGTCGTTAAGCTTCAGTTTATTGTTTCTATCGGCTGCTGTGACCTCCCATTTCTTGGTGAACAGCATGGCTTTGCAGGTTCCTGTAACCACAGACACTTTTTTCCGCCCGTGGCTCATCCTCGTGGCTTTTCGCTCCCGCATGAACGCGCTCACAATTGATGTATTACCTGCCATCGAGATCGCTCCAGTTTCAATGGATCATCGTATACTTGCACAAGAAAATAGGCGAGCAAAATGTGGAAAGGCGGTTTGGAAATTAAACATGGCGTTGAGTCGAAAGAAACTTGTCAAATCGGATTCTATTGGGATTATATGTGAATCCATTGTGGCGCTTGGGCCGTGGCCCGGAATGGGAGGAGTCATGGCGGAAATAACGGAATGCGATTCATTGGTATTGACGGCGGCGCTGAGCCCCGATCAGACAGCCACTGATAAGGGGCACACACTGATACGGTTCATACCATCCGCCGGGCCAAGAGACTCTATTATTGGTCCCCGGGTGAGGAAATAATCATGTGACTGCTCAGGACAACGAAATGAGCACGCGGCTCCACTTAAAATGCTCAGTTTAGCTTTACGTTGTGAATTGATTTAAGCTTACCAGCTTACTACCAACGCCTGTACTCCGTGATATTTGGTGTACAATATGATCCTTAGTTTTCGATTGATGAACAGCCTAGAAAGGTGGGAAGTCTGCAGGCTATATAATCCGCACCCAGATGCGGTTGACTAATCACCCCTTCAACACTCCGTATAGATAATGAGTGTAACAGAATTACCGTTTGTACTTTAGCGCCATCATATCGGGTTATATCAGCGCCGTTTTCCGTTTCCAATCCTCACGTCACTCACCCACTCGTCGTCCACCCACTGTTCGGGGCCCCGTTCGGGAGAGTCCGTTCCGTGGCGCACAGCGTTCCTTGGCACGTAGCGTTCTAAACCACACGTTGATGTTGCGATCCGTGGCACGTAGCGCTCCGAACCCTCACGCCGATAGCTGAGTATCCTCGGGATAGAACAATTTGACCCAAATGTCCCGGGAGGGACCTTCTGTCGCCATCCCAACCCTGATGATGTCGAATGTAGTTTGCTGGCGACCGTCTTACCGGTAGAGGGCAAGAAATTAAATTGCATACAAAAGTTGTTCAAACTCCTAGTTCTGGACACTGACTCTTCGCGGTGACCTAGATACTTTGCAAGTTCTTCACCGCTACGTCCCACCCTTCTTGTTGGGCACCGCCGCCAGTGAGACATCGCGCTGCTCCTTGATCATCCTTTAGCAACCACATCAACCAATTAGTGCCAGCAACCCCGAATTTGCCACCGTCCTTGTCCGCCCAGGTCGCCATATGGCCAACAGGCAAGTTGCCTTTCCATGATGGAATATTGCTGGGTAGGTTTTTAAAATCACGTTCGCCCTGATAATAGATTAGCATCGACTATGAGCTGCGGACATAGTGCCAAAAAACGTACATTTTCAAAGGCGATATCCGATGAACCACCAAGGAAATAGAAGACAGGCTGGTGCAGTTTAGCGACCGCTTGTTGTGATGCTGAGTCGCTGAATGCTCCGGAGTTGAAAATCCCAACGGCCGAGACGCGAGGATCGGGTGCGACATCGTATGCCTCGAGACTACCGCAGCTCTGTCCTGCAGCAGCAATTTTGCTCGCATCAACATTAGCATATTTTCCTTTACCGGCGTTTTGAGTAATAAACTTAATCGATTAGAGCAACCATTCCGATTTAGTCAGGCTAGAGCCGCCTAGACTACCATTAGCAATGACCAGGAAGCCGTAGGAAGCCCATTCGGTTAGAGCCCCTTAGAAACCGGTATCGTCGGCAATACAACCTCTATTCCCCAAACGAGTACAGGCAGCTTCAGATCTGCGGGAATCTCCTTAAGAAGATAGATGGTGTGTTAAGGTAGACCTGGTGTTGTGAAGACGACAAAAGTAGAAGACTGATTATATTGATTGACTTCTATGGAGCCTAACTAGTTGGGGATGTCTAGATACAGATGGTTGATCACCTGACTAGTGATGCCTGAGGCATCAATCCTTGAGGATAACCGTAACACCTGGGTCAGTTGAGTGTTCCTAAGAAGATCAGTTTATGTTCGTTTTCCGCGGCTTGGCTGGAGGGATACTCACCGCTGTATACGGGCCACTGCCACCAGTGCTAGGTCCCCCCAAAGCCCCTCCGATTCCGCCGCCTCCACCAAACAAACCCACCAAGAAGTCCTCCGAGGCTTCCGCTTGATCCGCCCAGTCCTCTAAGGCCTCCGCTAGATCCTCTAAAGGCCCCTCCCCAGAATAGTCCGCCACCAGAGCCGCCCAATCCACCACTACGCCCACCAAGCTGAGGGTAGCCTCACTTGCGGCGGCCAAAAGACTAAGGAGTGCCACTGACTGCAATTTGACAGGAATAGACCAAGTGAAAAACGGAAGTATAAGCTCTGTAGCCTAAGAGATTTGTTGAGGAGACTGTGTGACCGGAGGAATAGAGGAAGCGTGATTCTGACTAGGAAGTTCATTTATATCCCATTTGATTCCGGAATGACAATCAGATCGCACGAGTCCATCTCGACAAGCCTAACGACCTTGATATTCCATGATTTTAGCTAAAGCTCTTGGCAAACGTCGTCGCGTTTTCAGTGAACGATTCGATGTGGAGATGAGATGCTGTGTGGAGAAGAGACACCGTGCCTGCTGGTCCTAAAGCAACTTAACGAGATTTTGGTGCGAGCAGAGCTCAGGACCAGAGGTTAGTCCGCGAGGGAACCGGTTCTTCCGGTCCAGAAGCGAGAATATTACATTTACGGATGATAGGGCATAACTTACCAAGATTTGCTCTAACGTTCCCGAGTATGAAGGTATTCCGTAAGGCTTAGTGGATGATCATGTTCGCTGATAGCAGTCATACAAACAGGGCGAAAGAGAAACGGGCATAGGTTTCAATCTTATCGTAGGCCCGAACCCTAGGTGCCGAGGTCTCCGCACCTGCGGTCAACTGCCTACGATAATAGATATCCATTTCTTTGCAAATTGAAGGCCGCGTAACAAAGATTATACCATATCGTTGTCAAGGGCCCAAACCACGAAGGATTTGGTAAGCTGGTAACGCTGTTGAATTGCTAAAGAGAGAAGGAGAAGATCTCTCTCACTGCGATCTGCTATTTACATCTGTGGGCAAACGGTCTACCCATCCCTTCTGCCTTAGGCCGCAAGGCCACAACACACAGACTGGGCAAAGCCCAAGACTGTCACAATCGTATCAAAATATCATCGTATTCTTGATCGGATTATCCGGAGTCTGCCCGGAGCACCCTCCATATTTCGATTAGCGTGAGAGTATCTCATTGGACCGATGTTGCCCGAACGCTTTCCAGAGGGGCGGGGCTTCCGGGAATCTAAGCCCCAACCTCTGGCCGCAATCCGTTAGAGTATTTTAGCCCTCTCGCGTAACAGACCGAATAGCGCCAAACAGATCGTACTCTAACAACCTTGATCGCTGCACCTTGACTAGCAGAAGACCTCAAAATATGAAGAAAAGAGGGAAGCTGGGGGGTAATGAGGTGGATCGTCGGCTAAATTGGTAGATCGCCCATTGGGACACCGGATGCGTGAATGCCGTGTCCTTCAAAGCTAAAATACATGAACGCGACCTAGCAACCAAAGAATCAACCTTCATCAACTTCATACAAGCATGAGAAAACAGCAATGCCCTGTATCCACGCAAAAGCGTGCCTTCGAGTGGTGGCATCGACGTTCAATTTGTTTTCGACGATGTTACCTCATTCTTAACTGTAATACGATATACGAATTACACTCCATGTTCCACATTAAGTAGCTCAGAGTCGAAGTAAAGCCATCCGAGCGGAGACGAGAGAATCTATAAGGGATAGGATCACAATTCAACAGAAGTAGCACTGAGGTGAACGATCAGCCTTCCAATATTGTCGCTATGGTTTCCTTCTATTTCCTCGTGGCTTTCGCAGCAGTTGCCGGTGTCCTCTCTGCTCCATCTGCTGACCCTGCCGTTGCTCTTGAAGAAAGCGCCTTTGGAGAAATCTCCAAACGTGCGGGAACTCCCAGCTCAACGGGCACTAATGGTGGCTATTACTACTCCTTCTGGACTGATGGTGGCTCCAACGTGAACTATCAGAACGGACCAGGTGGTCAATTCAGCCTCACCTGGTCCGGTAACAATGGCAATTTCGTGGGTGGAAAGGGATGGAAGCCTGGCGGACCACGGTAAGCATGCTACTCCAATTCTCCGACCCACCACAGCAAAGCTCACTCCTCATCAAGCAACGTCACATTCTCCGGCTCTTATAATCCCAATGGCAACAGCTACCTCGCCGTTTACGGTTGGACCATCAATCCCCTCGTCGAATACTACGTTGTCGAAAACTTTGGCACTTACAACCCGGGCTCAGGTGGCCAAAAGAGGGACTCATTTAGCAGCGACGGGGGTACCTACGACGTCTATACTTCCACTCGGACCAATGCCCCGTCCATCCAGGGTACCAAGACCTTCCAACAGTACTGGTCTATCCGCCGCGAAAAGCGCTCGAGCGGAACCATCAGCGTGGGCAACCACCTCAACGAGTGGACGAAATCTGGGATGAAACTTGGATCGTTCGACTACATGATCCTTGCTGTCGAGGGTTACCACAGCAGCGGATCTGCCTCCATGACTGTGGGGGAGGCGTAGTAGTGGTGTTTCCTAGGATCGGTCTGCATACCGGAAAGCAGCGTTGCACCGTGCCTCAATTTGACGACGGGATTTACCAAATTCGAGAGACCCTATAGGTATCCGCCTGTTTCCAATGCAACGAGCAAAACCCACCTGATGCCTCCCATGGAGACTCATTAAACAGGCTGATTTCTCCTTTGTACTGATACATCGCACAGATGATTGACTCCACCCATTTCACATATAAATTGGCATATTCCTCATGTACATAGACAACTTCCTCCTCAGAGGATTCAATACGCCCCCCATCTGAGACGTCTTTGCTCTTCGTAGGCATTTCATATCCCCCGTGTCCGCTGTGTAATCATGGATGAGTCATTAGATGACTAATCTCACGTATAGTTATCACTAAGTTAACTTAGGTTAGTTAACTTAGTTTCCGACAGGATTTTTGAATGAATTCGGCTAGGCCAATGATAGTCCTGGTAGTCACAGATGTAATCATCTAAGCTAGCGCGAAAAACTGAGCTACGGGTATTCTGTTTCTATATGCTTAAAATACTCAAATACCGAGTAGAACTTTGCTACATGGGATCAGTCGGCACTTGTGATGTCTGTAGTTTTATCTTTCGTTGGTATCACGAGCGGACTGAATCGCGCGTTCGATTTTGCGGATTGTGTTGTTTGCCAATTCCAAGACCTCTGGTCTAGAAGTCTCAGCTAAGCAGTATCTTGCTCTTAATGAATTCCATGGCTTGCGTGCCGTATTTTCCAACATATCCTTGGTGGGTTTGCTGATCATTTCCCTTGCAACAATACGGGTCAGGAGAATCGCAGTAAGACTGGATCTTGTCACCACCAGGGCAGCTGAAACCCTTGGGACGAGCGGCAAACTGGTAAAATTTAGCCTGAGATGCGGTGCCTGTAGATATCGGGATAACTTACGCCACCAGTTTTGCAGGTGCCGACATTGTATGGAAGACCAGAAACATTGTGTGGATCTCCCATCAAGATCGCTGCCTTGACAGCAGCCAAGGCCGGACCGGAGAGCGGCGTTCCAGCACCTCCACACAGAGCATTGTCCATGATTTGGCCCCCCTTGAACTAGTAAGTATTCTTTTGAATCTCAAATCCGTCACAATCATGTCCTCACCTGAGAGTATCCAACTAGAATGATCTGGGTATTGGGGCACTTCTTGTTGTAATTCGTAATAGCCTTCACCACCTCCGCCGTTCCTTGGGATGCCGAACTGTCATAGCTGATACCGCCGCAGCTTGCCTGGCCACCGCATGCCGGGTAAACAATGGCTTCTGCACCTGATCCGGGGAAAGCAGACTTGATCTGGTTGACGAGAGCTCCAGCAGATCCATAGCCTTGAGAGACAGTGGTTTCACGGGCGCCAAAGGTGTAAACTTTTGGGCAGCCTTGTCGTTTACTGAGTTCCGCTCCGTTCGCGAATGTAAGACCTCCGAAGAAAAACCCAATGGCTGTAAAGGACTTCATGGCGTGATAGAGGAACCATGCAACACTTCTGCCCTTCTATACAAGCGCCTTTCTAGAGAAGCGAAGGAACTGGCACTATTTATAATGTACGAATAGCAGCTGTTATTTTATCTAGCCCTGTATTAGGGCTAGAGTCGGCGTAAATTGCGTGTGAGATAGATGATTGTGAAAAGCAATCCGTGTCTAGGTGAACTACCCTGTTAAGTTTAGCGTGCCTAATCGAGAAGTTTACGCCCCGCGTTTTTAAAGAGGAAATCTGTAGGTACTGTAAGAGTCTCACTGTCGGGAATCTCCAATCGTGAGGCAAACATTGAATTGTTGCTATGAAGGAGGAATCTATCTAAGGTGTGCGAGGCGTTTATCTGTTCTGGTGTTTACAGAGCAAACGGGCCACAGGGCCACAAGGCATCCAGGTCTGCGGACCTCTGATCCATCACAGGTACATCGCTTTCCACCCGTTCGCGTCGCCGTGCGTAGCCAGGGTATGAACCAGTCATTAACACACTTCCACGCAACGTACAAAAGGTGCAGCTTCGTCCTGGCTCTGCGGTCTCCTACTACTACTCATCGCCTACTCGTTGGAAGCACTAGGACCAGGAGACGGAGGTGTTTGAAGTGACTTGCGGGACTCGAGCGTTGATGTAGCTTCATTGCCTCATCGAGTAGATTTGCTGACACAGCAGCCGTCTTTCGTGACATGCTTGCGGTAGAACTTAGAATGTGCTCTCTGTAGCTCTCGGTGAGACTCAGCAATGGCTCAGTTAAGGCTCAGGCTGCTTTAGACTTTCGCTCACCCTCTAGGATAGGTACCCAGGATATGTCTTGCGACTTTCGGCAACTCGGTTAAGTCTATTAGTCGTGAGTCAAAGACAGTAAAGACTAGTATGATTTTCCAGGACACTCTTCCATGCAAACCAAGGATCGGACATATGCCAACGCAGCCGAATCTACACTAACGCTAGAAATGGTCCGCAAGCCGCATTGACGGTTCTGTGGGCCTTCAAGATGAGCAGAGCCCGCATACACCAAAACAATCTCTGCATCGGGAGAAGTAATGCACAGTGTATGGGAAATCGTTTTGTCGCTTGTATAGACATCATTATGGTTGCTAAGAAGGCAGCTTACAAGTTACCCTAATTACAGTTATACTCTTCGCCGACATACCTAAATATATAATAACTGTCAGAGCACACAGGGGTGGAATCAGGTGAGGAGTCAGCGAGTAGCTTGTGAGTAGCAAATATATAGAAAAGGGTGTGTGCCCCTTATGACTAGAGACTGATCCTTAAGGAATCAGGAACAAGAGGACGTTGGTATGCGTGCTAAGTACAATGCTAGGAAGGAGTCACGTGACGTAAGCACATGACTTGGAGATGCCTCGTGGTGACAGCTCGGCTGACCCTGAAAAAGGTTCGGCTCACCATCCTAATCGGGTTAGGTTAATCACGTGAGGTCAGTTGACCTATGTCTATGATCGACGTTGGTCGGCTCACCTTTCTGGATACACACATCTCAATTCAACCCCACACTCCCTCTAACTATATGGAAAATGCGTAAGATGTTTCAAACATGTTTGAAATATGTATATTAATAACCATGCTGTAGCTCAATCTCCAATTCTTCTATCTGAAGAGAATTCTGATGATGAGAGTAATGAAGTCGACCAAGAAGATCTCCAGCTTATGTTTGATGATGATTTCTATGAAGAATCACATATTGCAATTGAGGATGGTGAAGTAAGTATCTTCCTGCGTAATATATTTAGAACATGTTCTGAAGCTAATCAACTATATCGATCGTAGGTATCACTCGATCAGATCACTATTCTATCTAAAGCAGTATATCACCCTCTATCGACGCTCTA